TGATTTCCTTAAGCAACAATATTAAGTTTTTAATAGCATTGGGGTCCTTTTGGAGTGATTCTTCAAGGCTATTTCTGAGAAGATGTTGATCCCTAGAAGATTGGAATGCATAACATTCGGTTAGGATATGGTTCACTATAAGAGGTACCCCGCAGGAAAGACATTGAGTGGGAGAGTCTTTCCTCAGTAAGTACTCGTGAGTAAGCCTAGTGTGTCCGATCCTTAGCCGGGTCAGTACTACTTCTTCCCTTCTGGTCAGCAGCATATTTGGAGTGACTCTCCGAACGTATGGCTCCACAACCCTTAGCTTATTATCTCTAGTGGCAGACCAAGTTATTTGCCACGCCAACCATGATTTTTCTTTGATTAAAGAGACAACTTCAGAAGGTTGAGTGGTGATGATAGGTTGACCTTCTTTGATAGCTCTCTTGGCCATACTATCTGCCATCTCATTGCCTTTGATCCCGACATGACTTGGTAACCATAAAAATTTTACCATACATCCAGCCATTTCCAATGTTTTAAGTTTAGTTAGAGTATCGACAACTAACCAGTTTTGAGAAAAAGAGTCCTGTATCGATATAAGGGCAGATTTGGAATCTGAACAAATCACGACGCGGCTGGCTAGTTTAGCGTCAATGAATTTTACGGCGCGGTTTAGAGCAGATAGCTCAGCGGTGTAGATACTACAAATCTGAGGAAGGGATAACATTATATCATTATTTCCCGACACCATAGCAGCGCCTACTCCTTCTTTGCGTTTAGACCCGTCGGTATAAATAAATGTCCATTCCTGATGCTCGTTTTTGAAGCGATTGAAATCTGTTAACGGTATAATTGGCGAATTGCCTTTTGATTTTATTTTGTTAAGTTTAGGGATAGGGAGTGACCAGGGTTCTATTTTTGGATTTTCGAATTTTGGTATGTATGGCAGTGCTAGGTTTAAGTCAGTGAGATAGGATTTACATCATTCTGGGAACGATGGGCGGTATGTTTTGTGATTTTGAAGTAAGATTATATCTTCAGAAAACAGACGATTTAGAGGGTGCTGGGGGCGAAAAATTACTTTTATGAAATAGGAAAGCGAAAGCGCCTTTCTTCTAAAATCCAAAGGCATAATTCCTGCTTCCACGTGTAGGCTTACCGTTGGAATAGAGCGAAAAGCACCTAAAGCTGATCTAAGAGCGGTGTTTTGGATTGGGACTAACATTTTTTTGGTATTTTCACTGGCTGAATCGTAAACTATACAGCCATAATCAAGTTTACTTAAGACGAGGCTCCGGTATAACATAAGTATGCTTGTTTTGTCAGCTCCCCATGTATGGCAACTAACCGTTCTTAACAAATTGAGTGACTGCAGGCATTTACTTTTGATTTTTTTTATATAAGTTGCCCACTTGCAAAACCTTAAGACGCTGTTCATCCCTTAATGTAAGCGGCCAAGTTTCGCATCCATAAAGAACTGTAGGCAAGATAATTGCTTTATAGATTCTAATTTTTAAGTTTCGGGACAAGAGGCGCGAACTAAGTAGTTTTGTCACAGAAAAATAACAAGCGTTCCCCGCCTTCAGTCTAACCTTAATCTCTTCTTCAATTTCGTTTTTTCTAATTATCGTAGAACCTAGATACCTAAATTTATCTACGTGTTCAAACACATTACCATTTATATCGATATCACCAGTAGTATCGCCATTTTTGCAGCTAACCATATATTTTGTTTTATCCACGTTTATTTCGAGTCCTAGTTCTTTACCGGCTTTCATTAACGTTGTCGTATTTAGTTTTATAGTTTCAACGTCTTCGCTTAACAGTACCAGATCATCAGCATAGCCCAGCACGGATGTTGTCCCGCCCAGATCTAACCCTTTCTCGGTTCGCATTACCTCCCTAATGGCATGTTCTAATGCCAATTTGAACAGGACAGGCGAAAGAGAATCCCCCTGTTTTAAGCCCGAACGAACCTCAAATTTTTCGGACAAATTATTACCGATTCCAACTTTATTGAGTGTCTCCGTCAAGCACATCCTGATTAGATTTACTAGTTTTTTTGGAATCCCCTGCTCGATTAGAATATTATACAGTTTCTGGCGGTCAATAGAATCGTAAGCCTTTTTAAAATCTATATACAGCTGGTGAACAATACCGTTATACTCCAATTTTTTCTCTAATATTTGCCGTAAAGAAAATATTTGATCAATAGTCGAACGATTCCGTATAAATCCGCATTGGTAGTCTCCGATAATTTCCTCGGCGTATTCCGTGATTCGACTGGTTAAGATTAAAGTGAATATTTTATAACATACCGGAAGGAGTGAAATTCCTCGATAGTTATTACAATCCGTCCTCGGACCCTTTTTGTGAATCGGAATAAGAATAGATTCTTTCCATTCTTCAGGTAATTTCTCGTTCACCCAGATCTTTTTAACCAACCGATGTATTTTAGAAACTCCAGCTTCCCCGCATGCCTTAATTAGTTCAGTAGGAATATTATCGATTCCCGCTGTTTTATATGATTTTAATTTTCCGATAGCTACTTCAACTTCCTCTTTACTTGGTCCTTCTATTAACGGTTCAGCACTCTGGTACTCAGAAGGAGGACACAGATCATAATTTCCCGTATTTAAAATATTGTCAAAGTGGTCCTTAAACTTATTCAATATGTCAACCGGATCGGTCAGAATATTGTTATTATCATCCCTAATTCCAGACGTTACGGGCCCTACATATTTAAGTGATCTGTTTATACCTTTGTACATGCCTCTTACGTTATTTTCGATTCTATTAGTTTCTATTTCAATTATTTTATTTTTAAGATACTCCCTTTTTTTTATTTTTGAGCAATTTTGTCGTTTCGTTCTTTGAGATTCGGAAGTATTCCAGATTGTCTTCGCAAGGATTATTTAGAGCTTTTAATTTAGCGGCTTTTCTTTTTTCACACATGTTTTTCTTTTTCTTTATTATTGATATTAATTGTATGTACATATTGTGTGAATGAATCATGTAGCCTTAATATTAATGCCCTTCAATGTGGCAGAATGTATTAATATTCAATAAAGAAAGTTAAAAAAAAAAAAAAAAAAAAAAAATAGGTACTCGTTCGACGCACAATTTGCCGTTCTTTAATTTCTCAAAGAATACTTTTTTTCGCTTTGATGCACTGTTTAGTTGTAATACATGAAAAAACAGATCAGATAAATCTGGATTTTTTGGCTGAAAAAGATTTCTCTTGGTGACCGTATCAGCAATTAAGTTGTTTACATCTCTAAACCCATGCAGCGTGTCTCGTAAGTAGATGCAAATATTTAAAGGAGTGATAGCGGAACTCAATAACTACAAAAAAGTTTATAAAAACAATGGTTCAGCAGAAAAGAAGGAAATTAAAGTGATTTTTCAAGTGAGCCACGTTTTTTGTTGAAATGGAAGTGATAACAAAAAACTATTTAATTTAAGTGGTTAACAATTGCTTCACTGTAAACTAGACAAAATTTACTTTAAATAAAAATGAAGTTTGCTTTTTTTAAAACCATTTAAAGAGGTCTTTTGAGCGGCTAAACTCAGGTAAGGAGTGGGGGAGATGGGTAGGGGTGGGGGATCGGATAGGGGTGGGGAAAGCACCTGGTTAAGAGGTTCGTTCCCTCCCCGAGAAAATTCCTGGATCCGCCACTGCACCGAATCAAGGTAATGATATTGTTTAGAATAGAATCCCATGGTACTTGTGAAAGAATGAAAGAAGAAGTGACATATACAAATATTTTATGAACACATCCATAAATAATTAGGTATCTATCTGCCGTTCCCATCCGAAAAATCATCATTTAATCTTTTAGAAAATTAAATTAGTGAATAATTTGATGAATATTTTCTTTGTAAACTCCCAACTTATTCACTTTCAATCAGTGTGACAACTTTTGATCTATCTATGGGAGGTAATGAAAATCTCGTAATTTCATTTAAGGAAACTTTACTAAGGAAAATAACAGTTTAATAACTAATTAATAACTAAATAACAGATTAATAATTAATAGTCTTATAATCCGTAATCATTTATAGGTTAAATATTCAGATACACTTTCAAATCTACGTATATATGACCCTTTCAGTTGACAGAATGTCTAAATCCAAATTCAAAATTTTTATTATTAATTTTAGTGATGTTTCTAGTGGCAATATTTATACCTTTATTCATAGTTCCATATTTCAACTCTGCAATCATCGATTCTGGAATCAACTTACTCACTGTCTGTATAGATACGTTTCCAACTAGAAATATAATTTTTTTTTTGTTTATTCATTTATATTTTCAACTGTATTAAACCACTAAAATTACACAACTCAAAAATGTTGAAATTGGAGTTCGTCATTCAGTCAACTGAAAAGCACATATAGCTCAGAGACTAAAGTTATGTGTTTTACAAAACAGATGGAGTAACGATATTTTTCTTGCCTACCGTCGATATAATAAGGATAGTTTTTATTATTTTATTAGGCATGATGATTTGTTATCCTTAAGCTTATGATTCAGCTCTATTTAATAATCCAACATTGCCAGAAAATAATTTCTATTCAAAATAAAGCGGTAAGTAAAACTTGTATGTTGCGCCCACCTGATTTTTTATTTCAGTATAATATATAGGCACCAGAGGAGTTTTATTAGCATAATTATAAGCAGTCTTTGCTTATTATAAGATCTTTATCATAAGTCCATTTAGAATTTGTTGAATAGAGTTTAAATATTATATTTCCATGTGCTCATTGACTAATATAAATGTTATACCAATACTCCGCAAATGTGAACTAGTAGAAAAAGTAGTATGATCCACCAACTAATAAAAATCGTTAGGATCAAACGTGTCAACCCAGTATTCTCTTATGAATGTGAATAGGTTTCAAACCTGAAGATTCTATATTCTAAAAATCTCAAAAACATTTTTTTTTTACTAAATAAACAGTTGAAAAATAAAATAACTATACAACAATTGTTTTTAATTAAAACTTTATAGTCAATGACCTTGCTCAATTCTCTTTTTCAGTTCTTCAAGCTCTTTACTCAATCCAGATGGAGTATCATCTGGCATCTGGTCACTGAAATATTTTGCACTGGATTCAATCTCCTTTTTCCAAAAGTCGATAGGCACAGACAGAGCTTCTTTTAGATTGACTTCACTCAGCCCTTCAATATTTATGGAATCCTCTTTTGGAACAAATCCGATTGGCGTTTTTACAGCTATGGAATCATCATCGCTGGAAACTCTTCTTAAAACCCAGTCGAGGACTCTAATATTATCGCCATATCCAGGCCACAGCCATTTCCCGTCCTTACTTTTGCGAAACCAGTTAACATGAAATATTTTTGGTAGTTTAATCCCTTCATGTATCTTGGGCATGTCAAGCCAATGCTGAATGTAATGGCCGAAATTATAACCAAAAAATGGCCTCATCGCAAATGGATCATTCATCACATTTTTTCCTTTGTGTTCGGCGGCCGCTGTTGCCTCTGACCTCATCATCGCTCCAATAAGAACTCCATGCTCCCAAGAAAAGCTTTGATAGATCAAGGGCACTCCTTCTGGCCTTCTTCCACCAAACAGTATTGCTGATATTGGAACACCATCCGGTGACTCCCAGTTCGGATCTATGATAGGAAGATTTCGAGAAGGAGCACAGAACCTCGCATTAGGATGAGAAGCTGGTTTCTTGCGATCCCAGAGTTTTCCATGCCAATCTATAATTTGTATATTGGCAGGCACTTCTTCCATTCCTTCCCACCATACACCGCCATCACTAGTTAGTGCAGTGTTGGTGAACATAGTATCTTTGAATATGGTAGCCATAGCATTAGGATTACTTTGCCAAGATGTACCTGGAGCTACACCAAAAATTCCATTTTCGGGGTTGATTGCATGAAACATTTTTGTTTTCGGATTAAATTTAATCCATGCAATATCATCTCCAACACACTCTATCTTATACCCTGGAACCTTTGGAGTCAACATGGCTAAATTTGTCTTACCACACGCAGAAGGGAACGCAGCGCAAATATATTTCTTTTCTCCTTTTGGTGGAGTTATTCCCATTATCAACATATGTTCTGCTAACCATCCTTCACTTTTAGCTATGGTAGAACCGATCCTTAACGCAAAACATTTTTTACCTAATAGAGAGTTCCCACCATATCCGCTCCCGTAGCTAACAATAAGCTTTTCATCAGGTTTGTGCATTATAAGGGTTTGGTCTGGATTACAAGGCCATGGATTGACTTTTGCCGATAATGGACCTTCAGGTACTCCAACGGAATGTGTGCATCTTACAATTTGATCCTGGTTGGACTCATTCATTAGTTTGCTCACTTCCATTCCCATTCTTGTCATTACTTTCGAAGCCGCCGCGACGTACGTCGAGTCGGTTATCTGCACTCCCATCTTTGATAAAGGACCTCCTGGAGGTCCCATAGAGAAGGGTATCACATACATAATCTTTCCACTCATACAACCTTTGAACCTTTTCTTGATACTAGAGTCCATTTCTTCAGGAGACATCCAATTTCCGAGTTTACCAATCACTCCTTTAGCCGGTTCTGGAATTGTATCCCTCTTATCCTTTGTGGTAATAAATGTTTTAGATTCCACACGAGCTACGTCCCTTGGATCGGTCCTCGCTAAGTAACAGTTATCGTACTTAGGTAAGGGAAAGATCGTGCCATCAAAGAGCATCTTCTCAATGAACATTTTCATTTCTTTTTCAGAACCGTCACAAACATAGATCTCCTTAGGAGTGACTTGCTCAGCAGTACTTTGGACATATTTACGCATTTTTCCTGGTAGTGCTTTGACGGTAAGTCCTCTTTTAAGTGTTAACTTAACCTTATTCAAATCGAGCAATTGAAAGAATAGGTCCTTAGTAATCATCGATAATATTGAAATTAGACCAAATTTAGTCAAAAACTAATTGTTCGTACAATTATTTTATATAAATAAATAGTAATTATTCGGAATTCCCAAAACACATGTAATTGAAAATATCATATTTTATTTACTTTATATTGTAGTCAGAATATAATACCTAACATTGTAGCGATTACAATAAATATTAATAACAATGAATGAAAAATAAATAAATGAGCTATTTTCTATGGCACATAACACAGCAACTTTAATAACCACATATTTTAAAGTCGTTAAATTATTATGATATTATTACAAAACATATAATAATGAGCTAGTTTCGAAGATTAAAATAAAGATTATACAATACATATATTAATCTCATTGGCGACTCATGGTGGAATCTTTGAGACAACTCCTGCACACAGTTATTAGAAAAGTATGCCTTCTTTTCTGGATGTGGGGCTGATTGCCACTTGGTGGTGGAGCTCGCCATAGAGCAATTCACTCTACTCGTAAATAATTCAAATTAAATAATCTTTTACTCATATGACAATAAATTAACCTCTTTTAAACAATTTACTTGTAATATAAAGGCAACGAAAATCTAGTAGATATGTGCGGTGATACAATCTACTTTATCCTGTTACAGACTTCTACGTCACGGATGTTTATTAGATTAATCTTGTGTTATTTACAAGGATTGCGACAAGTGACGGAACGTTTTTTAGCAAAATTCGCCTCTTTTTTTCTTATTTATTTTATTTTTTCCTGAATGTCGTTCAAAAAGATTAAATGACTTAACATTTGTCTACCTCTTCTTCGTTTGTCATGGATTTTATCTTGAAGGATTTCCTTTGGGGCCTAGCCTTCAGGCATTCTGGCTACATGTCCACAGATCGATTAGTTCAACATCAATGACTCGGGTCCATCTGAACAGACTGAAGATGTTGGATATGATACGGTGTGAATTGTAGGAAATTTCAGTTTTCAGTTTAATACATTTTAGATAATACTTTCAGAATGGCAAATAAAATAAAACATATGTTTGGTAGGGGATAAGGTTAATTAACTATCCGGATTATATTTATAATCTACACCACATATAATAGGATATAAAGAAAACATTTCGTGATATCCGAAGAAACGAATTCTAATGAATGATCTATTAAAAAAATGGGAATTTGATGCAAAATTGACGAATGCTAATATCAAAATATAAAACCTTACTATATCTACAATAAACAATTGGAAGCTCTGAAAATCCAGAGGGTTTCATGAACAGATCGAACATAGAACAAGTGATCGGATCGAAATGGAATAAATTCACTAAAATAAAAGATTTTTACGAGGACACTGAGACCCGAGTTCAGCATGGTACATTGGACATTTCAAAGTCCATAAACGTTGAGGAAAACTATAATTCTTGCTGAAATCCTCTTTACCCGCTATGGTTGCCATGGAATACATATTACATGTAGTGTTGCCCAAGTTAAATTGGTCTTGTTCTTGCAAAGTGCAAGACCAAGACCAAGGTCGCCTAACTATTGCAATACCAAGGCTGGCAAAAAAAAAACTTTTTTGAGAATACAAATTAAGGCAAAAATTTGACAATTTTAGTTAATATATCTAAAGAATTGGTTTAACCAATATACTTTAGCATTTAACTCTTCCAATTGTTCATTCAGGCTTAGGTAGGTTTCCCTTATCTGAAAAATTGCAGTAATATCTTTATAGTAGTAAGCTAATAAGTAACTGCAAGACTTTTGTGAGACTCTTATGCAAGGCCAAGACTCGTCTTGGTCTCGTATTTGGGCAACACTAATTACATGTTTAGGTTTTCAAAATTATAGCTATTTGTGATAGTTGGTGATGAACTAAAAATTAATTGAAAATGTAAATAGAGAAGTCCTGATCATAACTTGGGCGCCTCGGATGATACAGAAAAAACTTCATAATGGTTTTAATAAAAATAAGCTTGTTTTATTATTCCTAATAATTTCCTATCCATGTCCGGCATCTAAGCTCCGCTCTTGATAAGTGAGCCACCTACTAACCATTCCTCTTCTATATCAATCTAAAAGATATCAATGAGTCCAATACTCGGTTAGTATAAGTTTATGATCAGTTGAGTCCATGTAATTAAGTAATCTGTAACTTCATCATGGTCAATATAAAGTTTGGATGAAAATAATAATAATGTAAATTATAATAAAAAGAACAAGAAGTGTAGTTTTAATAATAAATTGGAGTTCAAGTCAAGTTGAAGCCTGAACTCCAATTTTACAACTAGCCCTTAAATAATAAAATGTTTGTAATAACTCATTGTAATTATGTATGCTGAAAACACTAGTACACTGAGAAGACAGAACCTCACATCACACCATTGTTTTACAAAATGGCGGCGATGCTTATTCTTGTAACCTAATTAATATAGATCTAAAGCTTATGAAAAAAAAAGTTTTTCTGAAATTAGAGAATCTGTAGTGTTATAAGAAGCTGATAAAAAAAAAAAATGAATATTCCAAGTATTATAAAAGATAGAACTAAGCATATTTTAATTGCTTGAAACCACCTTAAAATTGTATCAACAAAGATAAATGCAGATTGTTATTCGTCTAACTGAAGTAGTTTTTTAATTATTGCTTCCTATTCAATCAAAATCTTGACTTATTTAAAAAAAAAAAATCATTTTTTTATCTTGAATCGGATTATACTTATATGGTTTATTTATATCTTTTAAGGTCTGTTATCACATATTTAAAAACCAGATACCTTGTATATCATATATTAGACCTTTTACACTGAAAATTTGGAAAAAAACAGAACTAAATTATTTCACCAGAAGTGATAGTTATTTGACGTCCCGATATATAGTTATCCAAATAACGGTCAATAAATAAAATAGAGGGAATTATAATTGAAAAGAACGAGATAGAATTTTTTTTTTATTTATATTTACACTTAACTGATCCTAAATACAACTATACATTTATTGATCTCTACTATGGTAGCGATATTTGTGCAATTATAAGTGTACATCTATGTATTAATTTTCACGTATGTGTTTATTCTGATTATTACGTGAAGTAATTCTCAATTACTGTCAATTATGTCAGCCATTGTATGCAGAAACAAAAAGTAGAAATATCCTTGCTGCACCACCTAAAAACATAAAGACTTGTTTTACAAACAAAAAAAAGCATTTAACAGCTGACTACGTTATGTTATAACTAGAGAACGGATTTCCATGTTATTGCACTTTTTATTCGTTCACTTTAAAACAGCGGTCCCGAACATCTATCCGTTTCAGTACCTTAGAATAACATATTTAAATTTTATATTGCACGTTTTGCTGTTTTTGGCTTAAATTGCATAATTTTGATTTTTGTTGCATTAACTTGACCTGCATAATTTAAGCAACGAAAATGTACAGCATTTCATCCACTTTGTAATGAGCAGTTATTAAAAATTGTATCAACGCGACGCCAAATTATAGAGACAAAAATGGGAAAAGTGTCGAAAACGAAATGTTAACGAGTTTTATTGTATGGTAACATATAGATTGAGATATCTCAAAAACTAAAATTTAGACCTGCATAATGTAAGAAAAGAAAACTTTTAGTAATTTATCCTCTTTGTAATGAGCTATTATTCAAAATTTTATTTTAACGTGACGCCCAATTAGAGAGTCTGAAAGGGAAATCGATAGCGCCAGAAAAACAAACATTAACGATTCTTTAGAATATTTTGATTACAATATTTCAAAATTTAAATACAATGGAGAACCTATAAACCAATTTGGGGAAGTCAATGTAGATATATTTTTAATTGGCCATAAAAATAAGAAATTTTATGTTTATTTTTGACTTTCTGGCGCGCTTAATTGAGTTTCGATAAATTACTGACCCCGTTACAAAAGTTATATTAAAAAAAACGCTGCAAATTACTTCATAATGGTTTATTATTTCCAAACAATTATACATCTAAAGTAACATTACCTTCCTCCTGATAAAGAAAAAGAAATAAAAGGTGATTCCAAACATCAAGAGACCATATGTTTCCTCCTAATTGTCCAATTTTAACGAACTTTTTATTTTTATTTAGCGAATTCCGTAAACTTTTGAATAACCATATATATATATATATATATATATATATATATTTATACATACAACTTTTCCTTAATCGACCTTTGAGTATTAAATTTAAACTTAACTATTTAATTGGGAATAAGGTCACTTGTTAATTATTTAATAAACTATTGAATGTTCATTTCTTCTATGTTTATTGACGTTTCGATCCCGGTATTTTCTTTTTATAAGTCAACGATGGGATCCTCTTCAAAGCTATAATTTTAAACAATAGATCTTCGATTAGGCCAGGGACACACCGACAGTCTCAGCACCGTCCACTAGCACATATATTAAGCTACTGGCTATATATATATACTTCAACGGTTATATATACATAACATATTTCAACGAAAAGAAGCTGGAAAAAAAGTTACGAGGGATGGTAAAATTAGATTCCCAATAACTCAAAAAGTGTATAAAGGTAAATTCATTTAGACGCTACGTCAGTAGCAACGCAGGTTTTTCGGTCGCCAACTTGAAAGGAAACGACGGATAGAATTTTCAATGAAAAAGGAATTTTAAATACAAATTTGGAAAAAAAAAACGGTCCAGTAGTTTCGGTGAAAATGCGCGGACGGCGTACGGCGGCCATACAAACAATCTTTTTTTTCATTTTTCGAATTATACGTATTCTGAAACGTAAAACCTCAAATTTTGAGAGGGGGTGAAGTTTTTGAATTTTATGTTCCATCACAATGGTTCATTGTTGAAAATAATAAACCAATAACGGAGTTTTGTTAGGTATTTAGTAGTGTCACCCATGTGGGCGGGGTAGCCGAAAGGGCTGACGCATGTGCACAGCACCGTCGTTGCCCGGCAACCTGATATAAAATAGTCACGAGTTCGCGTCCCGGTGCCGAGGGAGTCTTTTAAATCCCCACACTCCCTGGCCCGGGAAAACCCCGTATAGCCTTAACGGCGAGGAAGGGGAAGACAAAAAAAAAAAAAAAAAGTAGTGTCACCCAAATACGAGACCGAGACGACTCTTTGTCTTGCAAACTCAGGATTGGTCATGGTCTTGCACAAGAGTTTCTCAACAGTCTTGCAGTTACTTATTAGCTTATTATTATAGAGATATTACTGTTTGTTTTTAGATAAGAGAAACCTATATAGCCCGAAAGAAAAATTAGAGAAATTAAATGCAAAAGTATATTGGTTATACCAATTATTAACATATAGTAACTAAGATTGTCAAGGATTTTGCCTTAATTTTTATTTTAAAATTTTTTTGCTAACTAAAGGAGAAATAAAGGTTGGAAGCAATACGAAAACTTACGAGATCCTAAAACCTTTGCCAATCCTCTTTCTTTACAAAAACACGAAAATATCTTATTAATTTATCTTTTTTAGTTTTATTATAAGGATATGTACTTTTTGAGTTATTCATCCAGAAGTAAAAGATTTATTATGTTTTATTGTCACTATGATTGATTGAATGTTTATAAATGCTTTGAATTAAGGTATACATACCGCTAACAAAGTTACGTTGTTGGCAAAAGCAACTCCGTAAGCATTAATCGAAAGCTGTTTTCTAGAACATTCCATAATAATGGAGAGTTCTCTTCGGATAGCCACCGGTGCGTGGTACCATTCGTTGTCGTAGCAGATATGGTCCATATTTTCTATCTACAAATAGGATAATTCCGTAACTAAAATCGTATTTTTGAAATTGAAAAAATATCATTTATTATGTAATAATATAATATATTATTGATAAATATGATTATACAAACCTCTGTTGCTAGAAGTTGTCCAGGGCCGAAGAACATGTACACTTGCCCACAGACGCACAAACTCATTGGCAAGACGCTGGTTAAGATGTAACGAATGTCACCGACCTACTCACAAAATGTAGCATTAATATACTAAACTGGCAAAAAATGAAAAATTACAAAATTTTATTAATTTGTAATACCTTAGTTATTACAAATGCATTAATGCAAATCAAAGGTACCAAGGTAATTACTTGAAATATGAAAATTAAGGAGAATACGTTGTTTATCAGGTAGACGCCCCTGCAAAGAAAATTATATGTAATGTATTTTCAAGGAAACTTTAATGAAATAAGTTATGTGTCCAATCACATGGCATTCCTACGCATTGGAAATTTTATTCACGATATTGCTAACAATATAATAGTCTTTCAAGTAATTTTATACATATACATATAGGGCTGGAGTATTAGATACTATATTAATGTAACAATATTAGATAAGAAGGCCAGAATTTAAAAAAATATATAAGGGAAGATACTAAACCGGAAATTACGATTGTCATTCCTTTAGTTTCGTTAAAAGTATATATAGCATTGCCAAGTCAAATTCAACCTATTTCATTTCAAATTAAAGCTTTTCCATTTTAAATTCAACCTATTTTTAATTATTTAATTATTTTTAATTTTTCGATGTATGGGTCAGTTATCGCATGCCTTGTTTTTAAAATTAGCTGCATTTTAAGATTACACCACTGCGTTTTCAATACTTAGGTTTTTCGGATTTATTCGATATAAGGATGTATTCTTATGTTTCCGAAGCCGTAGATTTTGAAAATGATCTATCAAAGGATTAATTTATTTTTCAGCCTAAATAAATTAAATATCCATTTCTTCATTTTTATATTTAATTTTATTATTCTTTTTAATATTGCAGTATTCTCTAACAAAATTATATGATACAAAGTTCAAACAATTAGCTGAAAAATCTGAAAATTGCTGGTAAAATTGATCACCAGTTGCATTTCAGCTTTTTACTTTGTGTTTTGGGGTTAATTTAACCTTAGCTTCCTTTAATTCATACTCGGAAACATACTGATGAAACTTTGTATTGAAAAATAATTTTAAAAAAAGCTTAATTAATCGAGATACAGCGGCACAGTTTTGAAATGGAGATTAAATATTAGATAAATTTAAACATTAGAGATTAGATACATTTCAAATACTACGTTTTCGACAACATATAAGTAGATCCTTATACTGAATAAGTCCAAACAACTTATATAAATCGAAACGCAGCGGGAGAGACACTTATATCGAATAGGTACAATAAATCGATATCCGAAAGTTCAACATAAAATTGGCCGGTAATCTAACCTACCTATATTTTGTTCGTTGATCACAGTTGCTAAATTTAATTTATATAATTAAGTAATAAAAAATATAATTGATTGAGCTAATAATTGAATACCTTTGTATTGAACAATGTAATTCCACAGCTTCTCTAATTATCACCTTATTTGCTTTAAGGTAAGGTCCAATTTTAGAAAATACCCTTTTTAGACTCTTTATCTGGGGCCTCAGCCTCTCCACAGCGGCTCCCATAACTGAATCTATCATAAGGTGAGTTGTACCCCCTGGTAATGATGAAACTATTTGCAGGGTTAAACCTATAACAGACAGTATTATTCTCTTGAGTCGGAAAAAGTGAAATGCTGGTTTGCATAAATATAACATCAGTATCTTGTTTGTTTTGTTTAAACTGAACACTGCAGACAACTATACCAGAACAAAAACATGAAGTTATACAAAATTTCAACAAAAAAAAAATTGCCAAATTAGTTTGTAAATGTTCGACGTAACAGAAGAGGAATGGATCAACCTACAGGATTGGGTTCACACAGGAAAATAATAAAAAGAAAACCATATGTTCTAATCCGATTTCCATTTATTTAAATTAGATTGGATAGTTATAAATAAATAATATTTCATACATGTATTAGCATTTCGTCTTATTTTAATAAATGTTCAAGAATTCCACCAGTGACATCTTAAAATTTTTTACTTAATCTACGAAGGTAGTCTCAAAATGGTCGTTTGGAGCGTCATCAAACTTTTCGAGAGACGCATACTTTTTGGGCTTTTGAATTTTCGTGGGAAGAACATTTTAATAAGGTTATCACCCGCCCTCACCATCTGGCACGAGAAAATTCCCCTAAAAGGCGAGAAAGAGGAGGACGTAAGTGTAATTGTATTTAATCTACAATTTTTCCAAAAAATATCAAGTAAAAGTAAAACACTTGCGCTATTTTTAAAGTGAGAGAGAAATAAAATTGTTTGAGGGGCAACAGGAGCAATCGACCTTGGAGGGGGGGGGTGGATGATGGAGGTCCCTTCTTTCTCAGACGATGTGTGTAAATTTCTCTTATCAAAAAGACATTTTCAAGAGTTCATAATCTGTAGATGAACTCTTGATGATAAAGTATCTGAGGAATACAGGAGAAAAAAACAAGAATGGATAAGGTAATAAATAATAAATAACCTCGGAATTAAACCTATCGAACATATAACATAAAGGAATCATGGTTTGGCCAAGTTAAAAGAATGCAAGGAGAAAGAATTGGCAAAATAATGTAAGAGACGAGAATTGAGGGGATAAGACTAAGGGATAGGCCCAGAAACATTTGGGAAGGCGCAGACCTGGATTCTTTCAACAGGAGAGGAATGGACTTCTATAGGCGTAGCCAGCTGGTACAGGATCGAGATTTTTGGTTTAGAAATCTTTGCTCATATAAAAGTTAGGAGATTATCAAACAAGTGAGGTCTACATTTTAATATAAAAGCCTATATGAATACCCATATCTTACCCAGGCAGTGTCCACTTGGTGTTGTCTTGTCCCAAGGAAAATCAGCATCCCATGGCCATCCGTTTTTTATTATTCCATAAATCAACCAACCGCCGACCGTGGTCAAGTTGCATGTTGAGTATAACAGGAACGTATCCCGTGTCGGGAACACTCTGCCGTCATGGGGTAATGACTCCAAAAAGTCCACCATTGCTTTGAAGTTATTGGATGTCAAGTGGAATATGATGAGCTTTGATATCCCAGTCAGAAATGACAATGATACAATGAGGCTGTTGATGACCTGAAAAACGGGAAATAACTATTTCTTATATCAAACCACAAATTTTAGTTGGCAGGAATTTTATCCGCGGTCAAAAAAACTAAATCTCAGCAGTTGAATGGTAGCACATAAAGTTTATGAATGGTCAATATTATTGTCAATGTCATTGTTGATTTTAGTTAATATGTTATGACTTACTTTTCACCACTCATAAGTACTTTAAAAAATAAAAACCTTTGAGGTACACTTAAAACCTTATCTTTGAGTTACCTTTGCCAAGTTAGAGGTCTTTGACCATTTCTAATTTCAAGACCAAAACAATTTTGTATAGATTTGTTTAAAAAAATATTTACAATGTAATAAAATAATTACATTTAATAAAATTAAGAGAAAAGGTATAAGTTAAATATTAAAATAAAGAAAATATGTAAGAAATGTTCATGTTTGATTTAAGAGAAAATAAATACTATTTTATATTTTTCCCAAAATTAATTTTTACTCTTTATATTTCTGCACCCTGCTGGTAAAAACATCATGTCCATTTCTATATTTGTTTAGGGAAGCCAACTTTCTATAGCTCTGAGCTATTAAAATTTGTTTCTTAGTTACTAAATTATTTAATTAAAAAATGGGCATAGTGTCCTTTATCTCCGGGGACATATTTGTTGATCCCACAATAACAATGAAGTTTATTACATACCAATTTATATATTATCTGTTACTGCTTATTTTTTTTTAATAGTTACATTCCACTGATATAGGATTAAATAAAAATATTTTACAGGTTTTATGTTCAAATAAATAATGATCAAATAAATAATAAAAATTAACTCTATTCGAACATAATATTACATTTTTAATACTTATTATTATTTACAAAATATTTCATTTTATATTTGGATTCTTATTAATTATTTTTTTTTTTTTTTAATCATTGATATTTACAACTGTATTATAATACAAAAAAAAATACACCTAGTAAATGTGCACTTAGGAATATAATAACATGAAATCGCTTGTTGAGAAACTACCCACTGATAGCACTCAAATAATAAATTTACACAAGAAGATCACGAGGCCACCTTCTTTTCAGAGGGTTATCAGGGATCGAGGAGGAAGCAAAGTTTGAAACGAGAGGGTTCGGATGGTAAGTTTGTTATCTGAATAGGTCGGAAGGATAGGTATCCGGATTGAGCCAAATCGGAAAACATATGAAACATTAAGGTCATTATGGATGATTTTATTATGTAACAAAGTAAGCAGCGTTGATGATTTTACGAAGGATATTAATTAAATTTAAAAATAAACTCATAAGAAATAGCCTAATATTTGTTATTCGATATTAACTAGTTGTTTTTTACATTTTCTTTTAGTATGAATGTTATAATGAATCTATTTTACTGTTTAAATTACTTCATAATCGGGTAGTTTTTTCTATTATTTTATTATTAGTAAATAGTATTAATACAAAAAAAACAGTTCATTCATTAAAGGAAAAGAATGTTTGTTTTCTTACATAAGTTGTTAATAGATCAACTCCATACATAATTGATCTATATTCAAAATTTTCAAATGATTGTATTCTAATTTTAAAAATAGATTTCTAATCAAAACTTTTTTTTAATAAATACCATTACAAACCGCAAAAATGTATACATATCGTCACAATATCGTTACAAACCTTTTAGTGGATAACCCAAATAACCATCGTTTCGGGTTAAAATAAATAACTTTACATACAGTATTTATCCATCTCAATAATCCATGTTATTATTTCTCTATATTTTCTTTTTACATTACAACTATAGTCATTCTTAAGACAATTTTTTGTTTAGCTGTTTACATATTATTATTATTACTACTGTTTATGTTTTAATAATAATAAAAGGTTTAGCGAACCTGAAGGTTTGATTTCAACACCACCAATCGCTTATTACACTCCTCCCTCCACCGTTAGCCGTCTAAACCCCGTTCCTTCAGATCGGCTTTAACGCAATCTTCCCACCTTCGCTTCGGTCTACCCCTCGGACGTTTTCCATTCCGTACAGCAAATATTATCCTTTTAGGAATTCTTTTGATACTAAACCCAACATTTTACAAGCCCATTTGGTTCGCCGAGAAATAATAACTTAAATTATATTAACCGGATACAGTTCACGCAATTCGGCGTTGTGTGACCGTCAGAACTCTCCGGTTTAACTCATCCTTTTTCGGTCCGAATATTCTACGCAAGACTTTATTTTCAAAAACCGTAAGACGTTTCTCATCCTTTAATGTAAGCGGTCAGGTTTCGCATCCATAAAGAGCTGTAGGTAAGATAATGGTTTTATATATTCTAGTTTTTAAGTCCCGGAACAAGAGGCGCGAGCTAAGTAGTTTTGTCACATAAAAATAACAAGCATTTCCCGCCTTCAGCCTAACCTTAATTTCCTCTTAAATTTCGTGTTTTTCTAGTTTCCCACCCAGATTCAACCCTGTTTCGGTGCGCATTACCTCCCTAATGGCATGTTCAAATGCCAAATGGAACAAGCAGGCGAAAGGGTGTCACTCACTCTGTTTTAACCTCAAACGTTTCGGATAAATTTTTGTACTTTCCTTCCCTCATCGAGCCCTTCCCTGTCCAGTGAACCTCTTGCAGAGCCACGATTTCCAAATTGTACCCATTAATCTCATTCGCGACCGATTTTAACCCACCAAATCCTTACATTCCACGTACCAATAATTAAATCCCTATTTCTCAACTTGCGCAATGAATCCCCTAAAGCAGTCCCCACCGGGGGACCCGAACGGGGGACGATTTTACCTCCGGATAATGAGCGTTTTACCTTAGGGAAATCTATGATTATTTGTGGTGTATGGTGAACTAAAGATATGTGAGTAGGGCGGTCAATCCTAAGTCTCAGTTTATTACATTGCAAATATTTGTTTAAACAAATCTCTACAAAATTGTTTTAGTCTTGAAATTGGAAATGGTTAAGTACTAGTTCCATTAACTTGGCAAAGGTAGAGATAGTAAGTAATATATTTTTTTTTTTAATATTGAATAATACTAAAATTCTTACGTTATTAAATGATTAAAACTCACCTGGGTGAAATCATCAGCTGTTTTTATTTTAGTATTAATAATAAACGAACTCACTGTCATGACAGATGTAAGTTGTATACCGATGAAGAAGAACGTGTACATTCTGGAACAAGTTAAATAACACTAAATATTGTTAATGACGGCTAATAAACCTCTAATATACACGTACTAAAGCTAGTGGAGATAAGTCGAGAGCGCAAAAAAGGAATTAAAGGAATTAAATTGTTTCATTGATTCTATACGGAGAAATAAAAACTTGCAAATTATTACCCAATGGTTCATAATTTTATAACAGTTATAAATCAAATCTGTATTGCGCAGTAGCCCTACTCACGACATTCTCCACCTCATACGGAAACATTCCAAAATTACATTTAGCTGAACCCCACTGTTCTATACCGTAAGTCCAAATTTAGGAGAAATTCTTAAGGTGAAACTAAATTGTGATTGGTTTTTCGAGCCTGGAAAAAAGATTATATACGAAGTTTCATAGCAATTAAAATTTTTTAAAAAAAAGCTCAAATTTTCACCGAATAAGCAATGAGTGTCTCAATATTTTCACAGCATATCAAATTGAAAAAATATATTAGTTTTCGAGTAAATAGTTTTTTCTGTTGATTGAACCAAAGCTGAAATTAATAAAATTTAATAAGATTTTAAAAAAATATAATATGTTAATTGACTGATAAATAAATAAATAAATATAGTTACGGTTGAATTGTTTATCGTATTTACTATGCATGCATGAAACATATGTATATGAAATGCATATCATATTTTATTTCATATTTGTATACTATATCAATCAATTATTCCCGAGAGTCGAAAAATTCAAATGCCTCGGCTCCACAATAATCTCAATGAATGACCAACGGGCAGAAATAGACCAGCGTATAACTAGTGCAAATAGAGCATTCTTCTCTCTCTCAAAGGTATTAAAATTCTGACAAATCTCAAACTAAGGGTGTACAATGCTACGATAAAGCCATTTCCAATATATGGCTGTGAAACCTGGACACTAACCAGAACCCTAGATAAGTATGGAATGATTTGAGAGGAAAATTGTCCGCACGATAACCTGAGCGATCTGGGATCCGAGTACTAACAGATTGAGAAGAAAGAACTGCTTACAGAAACTTCTCAATCAATAGCCCATGATATGAAGGCACGGAGGTTAAGATCGGCAGGGCATGTACCTCGTAACAATCCATATAGAAGCATCTACGTAACAATGTATGCCTCAATACAAGGCAAAATACCAGATGGAAGGCCAAAAATGGATAGATAGATTCAACAAAGATGCAAGAGCTGTGTGAAGATAAATGAAAAGATATAGCCCAAGACAGGCGGAGAAAGAGCAGGCTTGTTGAGGCGGCAAAAGATTCTACATGGTCTATAATGCCAACAGAAAAAAAAAACCTATGTTTATATGTACTGTTAATAATTTTATTACTTACCATGTATTATTGTTATTGTTGTTTAATATGGGGCATTATATTATTTTTTACTGTTTTTAATTATGCATACATTAGGCATATATGCAGGTGCTAGGATATTGTCAGGAGATGATGTTGTCATTGAATTCCACTGAACTTTTTTTTATTTATATATATATATATATATATATATATATATATATATATATATATATATATATATATATATAGAGATAATTATAAGTTGTAAATGTTTTTTATATTAATTTGATTGATTGGGCCACAACGTGGAAAATTAAGATGAATGAAAAAAAGTGTGTATGTGGTATTCACTCTTAACCATAAACCTTCACCTGAAATATATTTTAATAACATCAGATGTAATTAGGTATTTAGGTTTTTACCTGTACAAAAGACTTACTTGGAGGACTCACATCAGACAAAAACGAATAGAATTAAACTAACGATACGGTCTTTTATCCAGATCACTTGACAGACGTTCAAAATTATCTTCAACTAACAAACTAACCCTTTATAAAGTTTTACTTAAACCTGTTTGGACTTACGCCATAGAACTGTGGGGTTCTGCTAAAACTTCTAACATTAAAAAAGTTCAGTCCTTTCAGTCAAAAGTGTTGCGAAGGATAGTTTAGCGCTTTATGTCGTAAATGATACGCTACATAAAGACTTACACGTACCTACAATTTTGGATACTGCAAAAGAGAAATACTATAACTTTCATCAAAGACTAACGTACGACAGTAATCCTCTGACAGAAATCCTTCATCGTACAAGAAACCCTTACAGCCCACTACGACGATTTAAGTAGGCATTGGCCAAGAGACTTGCTGATCTGATTTATATCCCGGACGTCATGGGAAGCTGTGAAGCTGCCAAAAAATTTGCTCATTGCAAATTTAATCAAATGTTCTACAATCTTTGTTTCGTTAATAAAAAATAAAAAAATATTAATTTGTTGTGTTCATTGTTATTAATATATAATAACTGTATTTGTATGGGAAAAATATTAATTTTTATTAATAATATAATTCCTTTAGCGACTTACATCAGATTTCAGTTCTTAAAAGAAATATTTATAAAAAATAAACTAAATCTCAGTTTCCGAGTTAATATTATTCATTACTTGCCTTTTGATGACAGAAGGTTTCTCCCACCAGAAGCAGCCCATTGCTTTGAACATGACCCTTTGAGGCTCAAAGCCCAACTTGAGCTTGCCGCCTTCCAAGCGCCCAATGAACCTCGTGAAAGCTCCTTCCATGATCGGCCAAGTCCCAAATGGAAGTTGACGCTAAGCAAAGGCCTTATTCATACCTCCGAGAAATCATCCAATATTTAGGAGCAATGCTGCTATTAACGCCGCGGACTCTTAGATATAAAAGGCCTGCTCTCTAATTTACTTTTCCTTGATAATTATTACCTCTGAGGAGAATAACTCCGGACTCTCTAATTTCGACACCAGAGGGCGGTTTGATGGCTCATCAGTATCTCCTTCAGAGAAATGAAGTTTGTAATTTTCTATATCAATTATTTACATGCCCTGTTCTAAATTGAAATTTCATTGCTTATGAAAGACTTTTCGCTTATTGACGTTTTACAATGACATTTTCATTCTCAATCGAATAACCAGAACAATCGATGGTTCTGCTGAGATGAGAAAAAAAAAAAACCTAACACCATTTTCATAAATAATGATAAATATAACACATCTGGTGATTAAATCGTTTACTTGAAAACAAACAAAAGTTACCCCAACAAGCCGTTTATTCCCAGATCGAACCCTTATCATTATTTATTTATTTAATAATAATAATAATAATAATACTTATTTATTTATTATTTATCTAATATTTATTCTGGGACGAGTCCCTTTAGAATAATACAGGAAGACAGAAATGAGGGCTAAGGAGCCTCAGAGATATATAAATAAAAATACAGAGTAATTGAACAGTCTTGGTTAAAAAAAATAATATATATATACACATATACATATAAGTTGCTTTCCAATTTTGGTCAGTTGATAATAAAAGAGAAAAAAAAATAGATAAACAAAAATTGGAGTACAAATAATGAAGAACGAACTAATAATTTATGTACATATTTTCAGTAGTATCTATTTACGATTTTATGGGGACTGGATGGATAAGAAATGATTGAACAGGCGGGATTTAAAGGTAGGAAGGGTATTAGATTGACGGATATGGGAAGGGATGGAGTTCCATAGAGATGAGGATCGGATAATGAACGATTTGTCGAAAGCAGCGGTTCGGTGGACCCTCATGTATAAATCAGAAGACCGGGAACGACTATTGCGGGAACGAACAGAGGTTTTGAATTGAAGGAGCTCGGAGATGTATGAGGGACGGTGGGATTGGATGACTTGAAAGAGGAAGGATGCCAGGGAATACTTACGACGGTAGGAAGGATAAAGCCACTTTAACTCCGCGTAAAAATGGGAAACAGAGGCGTCCCTTGGGATCCCGAAGATGAATCGTACAAAGCAATTTATCAAACGTTTTAGAATCGCCTCGAGATCCCCAGAGAGGCCCCCATATACCGTACAGCAAAAGTCAAAGTGGGGAAAAATTAAGGAAGTGACTAGGAGCCTACGGGTTTCAAAAGGAAATAGGTGACGGGAGTAGTTAAGACGTTTAAGGATGGGGATGATACGGCGGGAAATATTGGATATATGATTTTTCCAAGAAAGCGTTTGATCAATGGTTATTCCAAGATTTTTGATGGTGGGGTGAAATTTGATGGGGTTATTAGTAGGAACAGAGTTAGAATAGTAGGGACAGTTTTAAGGAGGTGATTGGAGCCTATTAAGATTGCCTTTGTCTTATCCGCATTCAACTTCAGCTTGTTTGTTCTTGCCCAGTCACAAATTCCATCTAAGTCTATTTAGACATATAATATTCTGTCACAGGGACAATAATTATATTGATAAATGAACACATTCACACCGTATGTACAAAAAAGAAACAAAATTAACAAAAGTAAAATAATAACTAAATAAAAACTATATACAATAAAAAAATAAAATAACCTAAATATAAGTAAATTAAAAACATAAAAATACAGTCATACCTATATACAATATATACAATCAGGCGGTGAACCCAAATTCCTGCGCTACTCTCTCAACCGCCTCACCGGTGCTAAAGCCGGAGGAGTTTGAGCGAGAGCGCTTTACACACATACACACATGTCTTGAAGGGAGAATCTGACCATTGCTAATAATGGCCATTGCTAAAATAAATACTATAAAAGATCTGTGGGCCACTGCCGCTTCAACCTTCGAGGAGGGTTGTCGGGATGAGTGGAACTAGATAGGGATTGTGCTAGGGGATTTGGATGATTGATAAGGTTTTGATGGAATTTTGAAAAATTTTCAGGGATAAGGTCAAGGACAAATGGTATATTAAGGTCATGATGTAGGGTTTTGTCGGTTACATAGAACGGAGCATCGACAATTGTTCGGAGGACTTTGGATTGAAAGGATTGGATGCATTTGATGTTAGAGAATTTTGTTGTCCCCAAAGTTCAAGTCCGTATGTCCAAATGGGTTTCAGGATTGTCTTGTAGATCAGTAATTTGTTGTCAATTGAAAGTTGAGATTTTCTGGTCAGTAGTCTGTATAATTGGCCGTATCGTCGGTTAAGTTCTTGTCTTTTAAGTCTAGTATGTGGGTTCCACGTTAGTCTTTGGTCTAAGATAAAGCCAAGATACCGGACTTTATCATTATTAAAAATGTTTAAGAAAACTCGAAAAACCATATTGTATATTCCAATTGTAATTTTAAAAAACAATATGTAAAAAAAATTGAGGGATTTTTTTATTTAAAAAAACATGTATCCGAAAATAACTAATTATTCTAGTATTAATTTAAAAACATTGAATCTTAGATAGGGTCCTTTTTTGGAAATAATTAAAATTCAAGGGCCTTTTTAGAATTAAATAAAAGTTTATTGCAATTGTTTTGGGCAGAAAAAAAGGGTTTTCGATTCGGAAGGAAAAATTTATAAAAATTTTACAATGAAAAAGTAACTTTATAGTAATGAATCTTTTCGGTTGAAAAACAAAGTTAATATTCGTTTTTCGTACCTCGAAAACAACACCTTAAATAAAAGCAATTATAAAGGCAATCGAATATATTTTGCAGGATATTTTTGGCTTGGCTTGAACCGTTCAAGACAACTTCACTGATTCGCAAGAAAATTATTATAATTGTGGATTGATTGTTGACTTTACTGAATAATTAAAGATAAACTTGGTTGGTGTGATTAGTAAAAACAAAATAGTAAAAATAAATAATTATATAATTAAATAAATAAATATATAATATAATTAATTAATCAATATATAATATAATTATTTATTTTTACTGATTTCCCCATTCATTCTTCTCTTCGAAAATCATTATAGATTTCGGGCTTTGAATGCCCAAATTATACATAATTATGCATAAATTATATATGTTTTATTATACAGGGTTTTTCAGGATTAAGTGGCCTGCAAAAATGAACTACAGACCTCAAAACAAGAAAAAAATTTCCTCTAGAGGTATATCCGCAAACGCTTAGTTTAGGAGATATTCACACCTAAAGATTTTAGTTGTTATGAATTATTTACGTAACCTATTTATTTGTTTTAACTACTTTATTAATTAAATTTAAACATTAACATTCATTTTCTGTCATCACCACATATGCCGATGACACATGTATCCTATCAGTAAACAATGACCCAGTAATTGCATTCCAAATGCTTCAATCACACATCATAAATCTAGAAGAATGGTGTCAAAACTGGAGAATTAAAATAAACTTCAATAAATCCCACCAAATTACCTTTACCCTACGTCGTAAACCAACGACTTCCTGTCCTACAGTTTCCTTTAACAATACTCCACTTTTCCCTGTTGAGCAAATCCGATACCTAGGACTCCACCTGGATAAACGACTAACTTGGAATCCTCATACTAGACTAAAACGACAAGAAACCGCTCGACGTTTCCGATTACTTCAGCACTTACTAGACAAACGCTCTAAACTTCCCATTAATTACAAAAGACTCATATACTTAACTATAATAAGACCTATTTGGACTTTTTTTTTTTTTTTTTTTTTTTTTTTGAAATATTACATTCTGTCACATCAAGGACATTTATAATAGTGATCAGAGAAAGCACACTCACACTCTATTTACAATTAAAAAAAAATAAATAATACAGAAACTTAATAATAATAAATACAATAAAATAAAATAAAAATAAATACAATAAAATAAAATAAATGTATATAAACAAAAGAACTAACCTAATTTTGACTTACGGAGTTGAGTTATGGAGCTCCACTAAACCATCGAATTCCTCTCGCATCCAATCCTTACAATCCAAAATCCTTCGTAAAATCCAAAATGCTCCTTACTTTGTCACTAATAAAATTATCCATAAAGATCTTAATGTTCCTTATGTTTCAGATCTGGCCCAATCCAGATACCTATCCTTCCGTAATAAACTTCAGAATTATCCCAACCCTATCGTTTCTAACCTTGCTTCCTCTTCAATTCCTGATAACCCTCCGAGGCGTCTGAAAAGAAGATGGCCCCGTGATCTCCTAATGTAGTCATATCATTAGAGTGCTACCATTGGGTAGTTATTCAGCAAGTGTATTCATGTCATTATATCAATTATGTCCAAATTTACTTGATGTATTTATGTAATACAGTTGTAAATGTCATAAAGAAATAAAAAAAAAAACATTCATTTTGAATGTTGTTCAAAGTGAATTCCATGAGCATTAAGACAGAGCATCTTCTTCAACAGCAGCAGTGGCAGAACGGCTCTGGATATGTGTTATTATTTCACAAGATTTAATTATCCTTCGGGCTTGCTCATTCATATTCCATGTCCCAATCAATGGATTGGCCCTGTAGGACCAGTGGCTTGGCCTGCATGCTCTCCAGACCGGACACCACTTCATTTTTTTTTGTTTGGGTGATATTAAACAAGAAGTCTATGCAAGTCCGCTCAATGACCTTAATTCCTTACGAAGAAGGATAATTGAATCTTCTGAATCAATTACACATATCCAGTGCCGTTCTGCCACTGCTGGCTGGTATTGAAGAAAGATGTCGAGCCGGTCTTAATGCTCAAGGAAATCACTTTGAACAACATTTAATATCAATGTTCATGTATACATTTAATTAATAATGTAGTTAGAACAAATAAATAGGTTTTATTTATTTCATATTAAGTAT